GCGCGCCTATGATTCTTGAAAATCAGTACTAAATTAATATATATCACTATATGCTCAGCCTTATGTATCTAATATATCGGTATTGCATGAAAAATATTCCGGCATTGAATGTTAAATTTCAATTTTGTGCGAATCGATTGCTTATTTGACAAATAGAAAAAATAAATATTGTAAGGTTACCTAGACACAATATGAAATAATCACTCTAAACAGCTATAGTTATATGATATCTTACAGTTAGTGCCACTCTGCGCACAATTGCATGCGTTGCTCCCGCTTGAACTGCTGTCCGTGCTCCGTTGCCAACGCTAATAATGTGCAATAACCTGACGTCGACAATGCGCTACTCGATATAAAATCAAATCAAGTACCTGCAAGAGCGTTAATATACAATATTGCTAAACTGCAATTACCGTTAAGTGTCTGAGCAATGCTACACCTCCACTACAGTGCGATGTGAGCATCTCAGCAATGTCAGCAACTATTGCAAATGTGTGCTTACAGTACTACTTGTTTTCATTCCTATTGTTTTTGTTGTTGTTTTTTGGTATATTTTTCCATTTTTTGCAACGGTAAATGTTTACAAATACCGTTTCATGATACTAGTCGTATTTGCAGTGCGTCGCTGCTGCTTTGCTGATTTCAACATTCAATGTGTGCACTCGCATGTATGTGTTTCTGTGTGTGTATGTGTGTGAATGTGTGAGTGCTTGTAAGCTGCAAATATTTTCAATTCCTCTAACACGTATCGATGTCGATGCCATTCCGGTGATAAGAGCAGCACAAAAAGTGCCGATGATAGACGGTCGACGGTCGACGGCGACGGCAGCTGAGTTGTTTGTTGAGGAAAAGTGGCTGGTAACAGGAGTAGTCAACACGTTGGCCGGATGGCAGGTTAAAGTTAGTTATGCGAGAGTGTGTGCAGCCGAAAGGAAGCGAGTTCAACTGAGCTAGCGCAGAATGTGGCCAGAGTGGTGCCGGTGTGGCAGTAGTCTAGCATGGAAGCAAGATTGCAACTATAAATCCACACACACAAACACACATGCACATACGAATGCAAAGGTTCATAAACACATACATGTGTGTGTTTGTTTGTGTGAGTGACTACTGTCTGGTAGTGAAGTTTAGCTCCTTCCAAAGTACACACAATCAAGCAAAGAGTCAAACATGCCACAAACATGACAAGCATCTGTACATGCTTTTGTATGCATGTATGTATGTGTACGTGTGCAACTAAGCATGTGTTTTCGCACACTTTGTACTCACTTGCCGTCATATACGTGCTGTATGTGTCAGACAGATGCTTGTTCATATTTCAATGTCTTTCCAGGAAGAAACGTGTTCGACTTGCCGACGACTTGTGTGATTTTTCAGTTCTTTCGTTAACCCCCTTCGACCTGCCACCCGCCTCAAAAGCCTCAGTTGTGTTTCATTTTACGGTTTCTTCATGCAAGTTCACGCACTGATTTTTATTTATATTTGTATTTGCAGTTGAAAAAGTGAGCATCAAGCGCTTGCTGACAACTTGCCATACAAAATGGATAGAGGCTAAGAACAAACGCACACACACACACACATTTGTTAGTGTCAATAGACGAGGCTGTGAGCCTGTGAGCCGCACGCACTGTTTGCACACCCCTGAGTTGAGTGGAAGGGGTGACTGTAGTCGGGTTTATTTTATGGACGCACTTCGTTAATCAGCTCAGTCTCACGTCCACGCTTTGTGTGTGTATATGTGTGAATTCTATATCTTTAAGTATATTTTCTTTGGTGAATGACTGATAGCATTTCCTATTTTATTATTAGATATTCATTGAAAAACCATTCATAAAATTGTTCTTTACTGTATTTAAAGCATATATTTAGCGGCACTTAATATTAGAATGGCGCTATGGTTTATAAAATCTTCCTACTGACATTGCTCGTCAACAACGGGGTGCTGAATACCCACACAATTATTAATCATATAATATCAACGGAAATATACGTGAAAAGATCTTCCTGCAGCGCCAGATCGATTTAAATGTGGTGAAAAAGGGAAAAGAAAGCTCTTAAATTATTAACTGTAAATTTTAACACACCTTGAACTTCCATAAATGCTTTCAGGCTAAGATTACCTCTAACATAGAAGATTGCTTAGAAACTAAGTTAAAGGCAAGAATACTGATTGAGCTATTGGTTAGATAAGGTTCAACGGCTTATCTTCAAGATGGTAATCGCAATTAGACTACAAAATACAGTTCTTTGTGAAGACAGAAAATTGAACTCCTGCAAAAAGATCTTATAGGAGGCGAAGAGCTAACTAGGCTTCTTGTGATCTACAATCTAGTAATAGATTTCGCTGTGGCCTAGCTCCCATACTCCCATACTAGCCTTACAACAAGGAGACCCGATTCTGTTGATAGCCAGGTAAAACATTCATTAACCAGGCTTGGTCCCACGGTTGTGACTCCAAGACTAGTAACGTCGCCCTGCTAAGTATCAGAGTTAATAGTCACTTCTCTAAAACAGGCTGTACTCCGAAGCAGTTTATTTACTACTACCTTAATGGCAGCAACCTTGGGAAGGTTAGTTTGGTTTTGAGAGATAGGTCACATATACTCACATTCATTTGGTTAGCGACTGAACTAAGGCGGTAGAGAGTATTACTATTTCTCTCCACTATAAAAGTCAGTTAAGTGCGAGCAATGATTTGTCGGATCTAAAGCTCGAATGAAACAGGTGTGACAACGGGGTGTAAGGAAAGACGAACTACCACAAAGTCAAGAATTGTAACAGTTGTCTTGAATTGAACAGTTTGAAAAGTCACATCCAGCCAGCAGCAAAAAAAGACGTTTCATATGAAAATCCTTGTTTCATCTGAGTACTCATGGGCAGGTTCGAATCGTGACAAGGAGCTGGCGAACAAAAAATGAAGAAAGAGCAAAGTGTGACCGACTAGGTATTGCTTAATTGTTTTTTTTAATCCAGGATTTCACCAGCATTCAAGTCTTAATCTTCGAAATCTTCTAAATTTACTACATAAATCTAGGCAAGGCTTTCGGTTGAAGCTCTTTTTGGGTTTCTACTGAACTTTCCTCGTTAATTGAAAATAATTAAGTTCGCCACAAAGTTTGATGACTTTCGATGAACCGATGAAAATCAAGTTCGTGTATAATAACTTTTTTTCTTTCTGAAGGGTATTACAGCTTTAAACCAGATTTAACGTTTTTTTCTTGTTTTCAGCTGAAAATCTGCAAATTTTTCTCACTTATTTCACGTCGAAAATATTGTAGCCGACATATGGCGCCAAATATTTAACACTTCTTTGGCATGCCCCTCCCGCACACACATTGTTTTTCAATACTTCCAAAGTTTTGCTTATCAAATCAAGGGTAATTTATTAAATTCCAATGCAAAAACACATAAATTTATGCGTATTTTTGTGCTTGTGTGTTACACACACACACACACTGAGATTTCATTAAAAAACGATGGCAAAACTTTCTCTGCGCGCATTGAGGACAACTGCGAGTGCAATGAGTGTGAAAAATATTCAAGGCAAACTTAAGTTTTCTGCAAAGTTGTGTCATCGTGTCACATTTTTTGTGCACTTCTCATGTTACCTTCTGCTATACACATGTGTATGTGTGTGCGTGTGAGTGATTTTGTTTCTTATTTTTTTCGATACGTTAATCTTGCATAAAAATTGATGATGGCCCGTTTGTTGCTGCAACCAACTTCTGCTGGTGCAACATGCTGCCATATCACTTATGCGGACAATTTCGTGGTTAAATTATATTTGTTTTTGTTATTGTTCTTGCTGTCCTGGTTTTTCATAAGTCACTTTAGCTTTTTTTTTTTTTTGTTGCTGTTATTATACACATTTGTTGCTTTCTGCTGTGCTTTTTCATATATTTTTTTCACATGTGCAAGCACAGTTCTGGGTTAGCCTGCATTGTCCTCCACGGCGTATGTGGAATTTGTCATTAGGTGTCAGCGGGCTGCCAGCATGTTGAGAGAGAAACTTTTGTTAAACTTACTTTTTGATCGTTATTAATATGAGTTTGACGCTTGCGAAAGTAGAATGGTAGACAAGGACGGACAGGTTGTTTGTATAACCCATATCCAGGACAAATGGTTGTGGAGAATTGCAAATTTATGCGGGTTATTTTACTTGGAATGGTAAGAATGTGCACTAAGGGACCTCAAATTTGTAATTAGTTGAGTTTGTCATTATTTCCAAATTCTTCTGTTTGAGTGAGTGGATATAAGTGTCCATTGGATATAAGTAACATTAGACTTATTCTTAAAGCATTATTAGGAATGTGGATCAAAACTCTTTACAAATTTGAAGATATTTGACATCGCGAAATACTCCTCACAAACCTTGGATTTGGGGAGGAAGCAAAAGCTTTTAAAATTTATTGAAATTGTAAACTTATTGAAAATCCCTAAAAATGTAACAAAACTCTTTTCAACAAAAAAAAACAGTTAACTTTGGTTGCATCGAAGCTATATTACCCTTCATAAATACAAAGACTCCTTACAAGAACTTTGATCAGTCAGTTTGTATGGCAGCTAAATCGACTCAGGTTGTCACTCTAATCATTTATGTATATATTTTATAGGTTCTCCAACGTTTCCTTTTGGTTGTTACAAACTTCATGGAAGACTTAGTATACCCCGTTGAGCGTATAAAAACTACTCAACGCTATGGTTGCTCGTTTCCTGTTCTCTTATATGTTTTCCACAGGACAGCAACTTTATGCTCATAGCACCTAAGCCGTCCATCACTCTGACATATTTTAAGCTTAAGCAAGACTTGAATTACAAATATTTCCTAAAACCAAAGTTCGTTCGTTTCAACATCTTAATCCCTTGCACAATAAATAGACATATACATATGTTAATTTACATTCACCTTAACCTCAAAAATATGCTAACTTAAACACTTTCCCCCAAAAGATTTGCTCACGTCTCTAACGTGCTTTTCTCTTTTTATCTCTTTATACCCGCAGGTGGCGTGGATGCATTTCGAACAATCGGCCATATTGACCGTTCACAATCACGTGATCACGCGTAATCCCCGCATTAGTGTCACACATGACAAGCATGACAAACATCGAACATGGTTCCTGCATATCAATAACATACAGGAGGAGGACAAGGGCCGCTATATGTGCCAAATAAACACGGTGACGGCGAAGACGCAATACGGATTTGTCAAAGTTGTTGGTAAGTCTCTTCTTAGGCGCTGGCGAATGCGAAAAATGCCTAAATGAATAATAAAAATAAATGTACGCAAATAAATGTGCGCATTATGAGCTACACTGGCCCACGAGGGTCAACAAACAAACAAACTTAAATAAATGCTTCGCAAAAAGAAGTTCGCTGTAAGCTTTAAGAAAAAAAAATTTTTTTTTGCTGTTTTTCTTTTTCACGCATACGTGTGTTTACTTGTTTATTTATGTGTTTAACTTGATTTGTTGTTAGTTTGTGACAATGCAGCACGTACTCATTTGTTTACTTAAGCGCAGCTTAACAAACCTCACAAAAGTTGCGGGTGAGAGAAAAAAAAAACTCAGCACTATATGTAGATACATTAGGGTGCTTCAGAAATTTAAAAAAAAAAATTTTAACTCTTACACTTTCCAACGTACCATTACAAATCTTACTTTACAGAAGTATTATTGCTCTACTCTCAAGGCAGCGCTTTCTCATATAATAAACGCGAGAGAAGTACTTTTTCTTTTTAAAATTGAATTTATACATAATTTATTCATTTTTTTTTTTAAATTTTATTCCCTTAAAGTTGAGTCCTTCAGCTTTACTACACTCTAAGAGCCAGTATGATCATATTTACCAGAAGAGTAATTGCAGCCATTTAAATTGGTACAATTTCTCGATTTTTTACATAAAAATATAAAAGTATTTACCATGAGGAACTGGCAGCAGTAAATTTTCTTTTAACATTTACATTCTTTCCCAAAAATTTTTATAGCATTTTGAAGAATACAACAAAAGCTAGATAGAAAACATTTGGGAGCTTAGAGGAAATTTTTCAGTGCAACTATGCTTAAAAACTATGAAATATTGCTATTAATTTTAAGGTAATGGTAATGGTAATTTGGCTTGTAATGATAATGGAGTGGTAATGATATTGGCAATTTTAATAATGGAATGGTAATAATATTGAATAAATAATATTTAATAGTAATGGTAATGCTATTATTGTTAGTAATGGTAATGAAATGGAGCTGGTAATGTTATTGTTGATAGAATCGTAATGATAATTTTAATAGTAGTCAAAATGCAATGGTTATTTTAGTAGTAGTGGTAGTGAAATGTTAATGATATTGGTAATTTTAAATGTAATGGTAGGTCTATTATTATTAGTCATGATAATGAAATGGAAATGTAATGTTATTGGTAATGGTAAATGTAATGGAATCGTACTGTAATGATAATTTTTATATTAGTCAAAATGCAATTGTTATTTTTATAGTAATGGTAATGATATTGGTAATTTTAATAATAATGGTAATGAATTGGAAAAGGTAATGGTGATTGTAATGGAATCGTGAGATAATATAATTTCAATAGTAGTCAAAATGCAATGGTTATTAAAATAGTAATGGTACTGAAATGGTAAGGCTATTATTACTGGTAATGATAATGGAATGGAAATGGTAATGGCAAAAAAGTAATGATTCTGGAATGAATTAATTTTGATACCTTTTTACCTATTTCCAATCAAGGTTTTTTCGCATACTGAATTATTTTTCTAAACCTCATCTCTCTTAAAGCAAAAAAACCCAAATAATGTAAAATATCTTACAATGACAAGCAGACAAACGCATTTGCGCTTTCAAAGACTCGTACTCCAGACGGAAAAAGCCATTATTTGGTTGTAAAAGTTTTCTTTCAATTTTTTATGGAACAATTTCCGCTTTCGCTACGAAATTTCACACAATTTTTGTGGTGTTATAAAAGCGTTATAAAAGCGTCACCATACATACATATATGTGTATGTGTGTTGGTATAAGTGCCAGGTTTTGAACCGGAATAACTATATTGGGGCATAAAAATCACATTACTCATGTGGACTTGACATTTCAGCATATGTACAATTACATTATTTGCTCGTTGTAAGTACATTTTAGCACACACTAAATAAAAAATAAACGGTGTACGTATGTATATGTGTATAGTATAAATATACAGCTATTATACCTACGTATTTCTAAATGAATGTGTGTATAGATCATGTAATCACATGTAACAATGGTGTGAACTTTTATAAAGTAGGAGTTGGCTTGCACTTATGCAACAACAGTTTAGTTTGGAAAGAAACGATGTGAAAATATTTTATAAAAAATTAAATGATTGATTAACTTCGTATGATTTTATAAGAGTAGTACCGTAACTATTTATATTGAGCAAGAACAAATGAATATGTATATGAATGCTTGTAAGTGAGTGTCAGCTCGTGAATGAGCGAGTTTGACAGCGCGTAAAAAATTCAACTCCACTTTCCCTCAACTCCGCCAGTACAACTATTAACTTTCTGTTGCTATTGTTGTTGGTTGCTTATAAAAACGCAGCTTTATGACACTTTTACATCTCTGTAATGGACAAATAGTCATTTTCACGCACTACAGCGCTGCCACACTTTCGAAAAAAAAATTGAAAGAATCTATTTACTGTAACAAGAGCCACCTCAAGCATTTAATAATTTTTTGCAATCACGGGTTGTAACTAAAAAATAAGTCAAACAAAAAATATTTACTTGTCCTGCTAAAGTTGCTCGCCTCAGTGCCGATGCGAAGCAAAATGCAACGCGAAAAAGTACATAAATGGCATCAGCGACCAGCAACAACAAATCAAGCGTGCGAAGTAAACAACTCAATGTCGGAAAAAGAGCACATTTACTTTTTGTTGTTGCTAGTGCTCTTTTCATGTTGTTTTTTTTTTTTTTTTTGTATTGCTGTTGGCCGCAAATGTGTCAAAAATCAGACAATGGAAACACACCCTTGAGTAGCACTTGTGTCGCTGTAACACATGAAAGTGATGGCACCAAAGGGGGAGGTATGTGTTTCTATATACATACATATCTGCTTGGGGGTGAAATAGTTGTTGTGCTCAAGGTTGCCAACTAAGCATTAATTTATGTTTGTTTCTATGATTGTATCTTTAAGGTGCACAAATTAATTCTTAAAAAAACAATATAAATAATTTTTTGTGAGAAAAAAAAACTTTCATAACCTTTATTTTAATAATATCTCTACATTTAATATTTTGTGTTTAAAAATTTATATGGTTACTCTGTTTATAGTTTTTGCTTCGAATAAGCTTAGAAATTACTTTAATTAATAATAAATAACACACGGAATGCGCCTGAAAGACGCTGAATCTGAATACATTGTTTCAGTGTTGCCACGTTTTCGAAATTCTTTATACTTAAACTCAAAGCATACTACATATAACAAAATATTTAATTATCACTGATAAAAATCAAGTGTATAAACGTTTTTACGTGGCCTTAAGCAAACTTTTATAAACGGGGTTGCCATAAATAATTTATTTGTAATTTAAATACTTTCTAACGCGCAGTAAGAAAAGTAGGTATATAGATAAATTGTTGCGCATAAAAATTAATTATTATTATAAATGCGTCCCATAAAAGAATAAAAACGCTAACATGGTTGCCATCTAATTAGTAATTTACGAGATTTAGACTTTTTTTTATAAATTAAGCTATAAGAACATTATTTTGAAAAGCTTAACGTATGTACAAGTATTTCGAATTTACTTTATAACAGTGTTGCCACCTGTTTAAAAAATTTATAAATTATTTTTAAAATATATATGTGTATATGTATATATTTTTTCTTTTAGAACATGTTTAAAAAGTATTGCCATCTCTAATTTATATTAAAAATCTGAAATATAAATCTGTTGCCACTTTATTGCAATTCTTTATTGCTGACAAATCATATTTTGTATAGGGAATTGTATCTGTTCATGGAAATATTTATTTGATTTTGCCCTTGCAAAAATGTATTCTTAATTCTTTTATTTCTCTTGGCTGACTACATACACAGCCTGATCAATTTTCAATTAACCGTGCAGATTTTATGCTGTTTTCAGAGTAAAATGCAAGCGTGCATATGAAGCCAGCGCCTATAAATATGTATGTATGCACATATACTATTACATATCCATGAAGCTTTTCTTACTTTTAACATTTACTTGATGTTTTCTTTTTGCTCCACAAAAAGTTTTCGAAAAATGGCTAGTGTGTCCAGCGGGAATGGTGAATTTTTATGTCACCGCAGCGCTTTTGTCTCACCTCTGGTCAACACACTTCATTCTGCGACCCGCCGCCACGGCATTTTATGTCGAAATTTCCTGCACTTTTTACACAGCTTTGTTTGTAAAGCGCTTTTTGTTGTTGTTGTGATTTCAGTACCGCTATTTTGCATAGTTCGTTTGCGCAGCGCGTTGCAAGCGAACGTTTTGTCAGCTGCGTTGGGGCAGCTGCAGAACCAGAAGCAACAAATAGAAAATAAAAATAAATAAACAACCGTTAACTGTTTTTGTTGGCATACGTTACCGAGGCTGTTGCGGTCGTTGTTGTTGTTATTGTTATGCCTTTGCAACATATGTCAAACTGTTGCGCGCTGTTTGCTTGCAATGTTTTTGCCACCGTACACACGCACACACATACACTAACAAGCTTGCATATATCCGTTGGGAGAAACAGTGCGCGGACTTTTTGCACAGATTTATACTGCAGCGCGGAACAAAAAACAAAAAAAATTTACCAACCAAAAAATGCCGCAAAATATGATACGTGTAACATTTGGCTGGCGTGGCACACACGCACGCTCGTTTGCTTGTATGATGGGCGTGTATGACTGTGTTATGTCCAACATATGCCACTATTTGTCACACAGATTTTTTGGCAACTTTTTCCAACGTTTGAACAAGTGCTCAGCAACACACACACACACACATACTCACACAAATACAAATATGAATTTACGCTCCCGCAGAGGCAGCGCGCAGCGACCGCAGCTAGTAGCTGATGTGTCAACTTCTCCCATAACCGGAACTTGTGTAAATACTGTCATTTCCGTTGGCTTTCAGCGCGCACACAGCCACACTCACATGTATACACACACACACACATACAGATTTGTTCGCTTTCACATTCGCATTTGCATTTCCAT